AAAAAAGAAAGATCGAGGGGAAAAAAAAAAGAACCTGTACATGGATCAATAGGCAGTTGTGCAAACAGAACAAAGGAGTATTGCCTGGTTTAAAGTCAGGAAAGGTGTGTGTCAAGTTTGTATTCTCTCACCATACGCAATCTGTATGCTGAGCAAATAATCAGAGAATTTGAATTAAATGCAGAAGAATGTGGCATCAGGATTGGAAAAAGGCTCATTAAGAACATGTGATATGCAGTTGACACAATCTTGCTTGCTAAAAGTGAGGAAATTTCAAGCACTTGCTGATGAAGTCAAGAATTGCAGAATTGCAGCCTTCAGGATTTCAATTCAATGTAAAGAAGACCAAAAATCCTCACAACTGGACAAATAGGTAACATTGTTATAAATGGAGAAAAGTTTGAAGTTGTCAAGAATTTTGTCTTGCTTGGATCCACAATCAATGCTTAGGAATGCAGTCCAGGGATCCAAAGATGTGCTTCATTGGATAAATCTGCTCATAAGAGCACTTTAGAGTGTTGAAAAGCAAGGATGTAATTTTGAGGATAAGGTGTTCCTGAGTCATGCCATGATATTTTCAATTGCCTCATATGTAAGTTGAACATTGAATAAGGAAAATGGAAGAATATCGTATGCATTTGAATTATGGTATTGGTGAAGAATATTGACCATGGGCTGTCAAAACACAAACAGATCTGTCTTGGAGGAAGTACAACCAGAATGCTCTTTTGAGACAAAGATGGCAAAACTTTGTTTCACATATTTCGGACATGTTATCAGGAGGGACCAGTACCTGGATAAGGATATTACGTTTAGTAAATTGGAGGGAGAAGGCACTCTTTGAAGTGGATGGACACTGTGGTTCCAACAACGGGCTCAAACATAAGAACAGTTGTGAAGATAATGCTGGGCCAGGTAGCTTTTCATTCTGTGGGGCACTCAGTCAGAAATTACTGGAGGGCACCTAACAACAGCCTGGTTATACAGTGAGAGCCATCAACCCACTTTGCATCTTCACATATGCAGGCTCGGCTGAATTATGTTGACCACTAACCAACAATGTGAAAAGCTTTGCCCTCAGAGTGCATCTTGGTGGAACTGGGGGCTGCTAATACAGAGTCCTGGTAAGCTGCAAATTGGGCTGCTTAAACAGCAAGGTCAGCAGTTCAAAACCACCAACAAATATGAGACAAAAATGAGACTTCCTATTCCCATAAAGATTCACAGTCTCGGAAACCCAGTCTACTCTGTCCTCTAGAGTGGCTATGATTCGGAATCGACTCTCTGGCCGTGAGTTTGGAGTTTCCGGTTTCCGCACAAGGACCCTCTTTAGCCTTGTTAAGGTCCCCGGCAAATGGAACCTCCTCCAGACCAACTCGGCCGAGCAGCTCCCTCCCAAGTAACCTCCACGCCCCGCCCCTTCCGTCCCGTCCCCCCATGCCCCGCCCCTTCCGCCCATCCCGCTCTCCCCGCCCCCGCTCGTTTCGCTGACACCGCCGGTGCCGTGGGCCTTCTCGTGCCGAGGATTCTGGGCTTGGTAGTTCACTTTCATACTCTTCCGGGCATCACAGAAGAAATCCTTGTAAAACACCGATGCAAGCAAGTTGTCCGTGTGATTAGTGAACATTAAATAAGACGCAGATTCTGGCTGAGGCTCCGGGTACAAAAGCGTCTTTAGAAACGAGAAGCGAGAGCCGGACTCCGGTCAGGCGCGGCGCGGACAGCCCCGCGAGGTCCTCTTC